ACACATTTGTAAATTTGGTGTTTTAATTTTTTTACATTCATGGGGTGTTATACTGTGAAGGTGATACGACATGGGAATGGAAGAAATAAATAGCTCTTTCTTCTTTATTTTTTCTATTGTCCATGGGGAAGTGAAAAAATCTTTTCCCCCGTAAGCCATGGGTCGTATGAGGCGATAAAATGGGGACAATGGGTATAAAAAAACCCCTTTTCCCCGTAGACATTTATAAAAAAGAGAAGAAGAAAAACTTTATAAAAATTGGGGGTGCTTAAAAGTGCGTGGATGTAGTGGGTACAAAAAACAAAGATTTGATGTTATAAAGAAAAGAAGTTGGATGTCCTGGCCCTAAGCGAAACAAAGCTGAAGGGGGTAGGGGAGTTTCAGTGGGGGAAATAAATGGGATTAAATCTGGAGTATCTGAGAGTTAGAACAAAGGAAGGGGTAGCAGTAATGTTGAATGATCAGTTATGGAAGGAGAAAAGAGAATATGAATGTGTAAATTCAAGAATTATGTGGATTAAAGTAAAGGTTGGATGCGAGAAGTGGGTCATAATAAGCGTGTATGCACCTGGAGAAGAGAGGAATGCAGAGGAGAGAGAGAGAGATTTTGGGAGATGTTAAGTGAATGTATAGGAGCCTTTGAACCAAGTGAGAGAGTAATTGTGGTAGGGGACCTGAATGCTGAAGTAGGAGAAACTTTTAGAGAGGGTGTGGTAGGTAAGTTTGGGGTACCAGGTGTAAATGATAATGGGAGCCCTTTGATTGAACTTTGTATAGAAAGGGGTTTAGTTATAGGTAATACATATTTTAAGAAAAAGAGGATAAATAAGTATACAAGATATGATGTAGGGCAAAATGACAGTAGTTTGTTGGATTATGTATTGGTAGATAAAAGACTATTGAGTAGACTTCAGGATGTACATGTTTATAGAGGGGCCACAGATATATCAGATCACTTTCTAGTTATAGCTACACTGAGAGTAAAAGGTTGATGGGATACAAGGAGAATAGAAGTATCAGGGAAGAGAGAGGTGAAGGTTTATAAACTAAAAGAGGAGGCAGTTAGGGTAAGATATAAACAGCTATTGGAGGATAGATGGGCTAATGAGAGCATAGGCAATGGGGTCGAAGAGGTATGGGGTAGGTTTAAAAATGTAGTGTTAGAGTGTTCAGCAGAAGTTTGTGGTTACAGGAAAGTGGGTGCGGGAGGGAAGAGGAGCGATTGTTGGAATGATGATGTAAAGAGAGTAGTAAGGGAGAAAAAGTTAGCATATGAGAAGTTTTTACAAAGTAGAAGTGATGCAAGGAGGGAAGAGTATATGGAGAAAAAGAGAGGGGTTAAGAGAGTGGTGAAGCAATGTAAACAGAGAGCAAATGAGAGAGTGGGTGAGATGTTATCAACAAATTTTGTTGAAAATAAGAAAAAGTTTTGGAGTGAGATTAACAAGTTAAGAAAGCCTAAAGAACAAATGGATTTGTCAGTTAAAAATAGGAGAGGATAGTTATTAAATGGAGAGTTAGAGGTATTGGGAAGATGGAGGGAATATTTTGAGGAATTGTTAAATGTTGATGAAGATAGGGAGCTGTGATTTCGTGTATAGGGCAAGGAGGAACAACATCTTGTAGGAGTGAGGAAGAGCCAGTTGTGAGTGTGGGGGAAGTTCGTGAGGCAGTAGGTAAAATGAAAGGGGGTAAGGCAGCCGGGATTGATGGGATAAAGATAGAAAAGTTAAAAGCAGGTGGGGATATAGTTTTGGAGTGGTTGGTGCAATTATTTAATAAATGTATGGAAGAGGGTAAGGTACCTAGGGATTGGCAGAGAGCATGCATAGTTCCTTTGTATAAAGGCAAAGGGGATAAAAGAGAGTGCAAAAATTATAGGGGGATAAGTCTGCTGAGTATACCTGGTAAAGTGTATGGTAGAGTTATTATTGAAAGAATTAAGAGTAAGACGGAGAATAGGATAGCAGATGAACAAGGAGGCTTTAGGAAAGGTAGGGGGTGTGTGGACCAGGTGTTTACAGTGAAACATATAAGTGAACAGTATTTAGATAAGGCTAAAGAGGTCTTTGTGACATTTATGGATTTGGAAAAGGCATATGACAGGGTGGATAGGGGGGCAATGTGGCAGATGTTGCAAGTGTATGGTATAGGAGGTAGGTTACTGAAAGCAGTGAAGAGTTTTTACGAGGATAGTGAGGCTCAAGTTAGAGTATGTAGGAAAGAGGGAAATTTTTTCCCAGTAAAAGTAGGCCTTAGACAAGGATGTGTGATGTCACCGTGGTTGTTTAATATATTTATAGATGGGGTTGTAAGAGAAGTAAATGCGAGGGTCTTGGCAAGAGGCATGGAGTTAAAAGATAAAGAATCACACACAAAGTGGGAGTTGTCACAGCTGCTCTTTGCTGATGACACTGTGCTCTTGGGAGATTCTGAAGAGAAGTTGCAGAGATTGGTGGATGAATTTGGTAGGGTGTGCAAAAGAAGAAAATTGAAGGTGAATACAGGAAAGAGTAAGGTTATGAGGATAACAAAAAGATTAGGTGATGAAAGATTGAATATCAGATTGGAGGGAGAGAGTATGGAGGAGGTGAATGTATTCAGATATTTGGGAGTGGACGTGTCAGCGGATGGGTCTATGAAAGATGAGGTGAATCATAGAATTGATGAGGGGAAAAGAGTGAGTGGTGCACTTAGGAGTCTGTGGAGACAAAGAACTTTGTCCTTGGAGGCAAAGAGGGGAATGTATGAGAGTATAGTTTTACCAACGCTCTTATATGGGTGTGAAGCATGGGTGATGAATGTTGCAGCGAGGAGAAGGCTGGAGGCAGTGGAGATGTCATGTCTGAGGGCAATGTGGTGTGAATATAATGCAGAGAATTCGTAGTTTGTAAGTTAGGAGGAGGTGCGGGATTACCAAAACTGTTGTCCAGAGGGCTGAGGAAGGGTTGTTGAGGTGGTTCGGACATGTAGAGAGAATGGAGCGAAACAGAATGACTTCAAGAGTGTATCAGTCTGTAGTGGAAGGAAGGCGGGGTAGGGGTCGGCCTAGGAAAGGTTGGAGAGAGGGGGTAAAGGAGGTTTTGTGTGCGAGGGGCTTGGACTTCCAGCAGGCATGCGTGAGCGTGTTTGATAGGAGTGAATGGAGACAAATGGTTTTTAATACTTGACGTGCTGTTGGAGTGCGAGCAAAGTAACATTTATGAAGGGGTTCAGGGAAACCGGCAGGCCGGACTTGAGTCCTGGAGATGGGAAGTACAGTGCCTGCACTCTGAAGGAGGGGTGTTAATGTTGCAGTTTAAAAACTGTTGTGTAAAGCACCCTTCTGGCAAGACAGTGATGGAGTGAATGATGGTGAAAGTTTTTCTTTTTCGGGCCACCCTGCCTTGGTGGGAATCGGCCAGTGTGATAATAATAATAATAAAAAAGGACAAAGGGACACTACAGTAGGCCTGTTGGTCATTGTTAATGGGAACGCCTCGTATTGTTTCCTTGTAGTACCATCACCATCCTTTGATCATCTGTTTCTTTGTGCTTGATCAGATGTTGACTGTATTAATGTTGCATTCTCCAAGATGAGTGTAATGTATGTGTGTGTATAAGACTCTTAGTTGTACACTCCAACATTCATTGTTAAAATTCCTGAAAGTTAATTTAGCTACTATTGCAGCAGTGCTATTCAGTTGTATGATTCGGGTAATATGCTCAGCACGTTTCACAATCCCAAATGCTGCTTGTACGATGCATGCAGTTTCTCTCCCAGGCTGTATTCCATTTCCAATCTTGTCAGTCCCTTGCCTATTGTAATTCCTTTGCATTTGCCAAGACGGAATTCTAGAAACTACATGTTCGACCATGTCTGCCGCCTATTATTCCCATAGGAGAGCACTCAACTTGAGGGTGCATACAGTGCCTTAGAAATGAAAGGTAATCAGATTTGATCCAGTGAGGGTGAGGGGTATCTCCAGTTCCTTAGATAAAGAATCTTCACATGCATCAACTTTCCTTGAATGGTTTTCATTGTATCTGATTCTCCTTTTTTTTTTTTTATTACTTCTTTCTGCCACTTATGTTTTCCCTTTTCACTCCACTAAGTAACCTTTCATCTCTGCATAGTTCTCTTCCATAGTCTCCCCTTTTTTGTGGGGGCGGGGGTATATCTGCCCTTTCACTTTTTTTTTTCACCAGCACTATGTAGTCAAAGCATAGATAGGCCCATGTGGTCATTGGCCTCTCAGTGGTTCTTAATATTTTAATTTATTCTGTATATGCTTCATTTTGGGTAAAGATCAGGTAAAATCTTATTGTTTTTATCATGTTTTTAAAATGATGAATTATATATATATATTTTTATTAGTACCCATATCTTTTTATAACCACATTTCCAGTTCTTCAGGGAATTTTTAGCAGATGCATATCCCCTCATCCTTTATAAAGTTTACTATTCCATCTGCCTCCTGTCATCGTACCATCTGTCAAAAGGTTTGCCTCTCATTCCTTCCATTCTTATTTCCCTGCTTTCATTTACTGATTATGAATGCAGGTAACATTCTGGCTGTATGTTTGTACATGTAATCTGTCACCTGCTGTTGATCTCATTTGTGTACCTCCTTAAATATCTTCTTATCCAATAATTCTCATTCTTATCATTATTATTCCTGTCCTTGCAATCCTTTACTTGTCCATTTCTCTTCTCAAGAGACTAAGAAGTGTTTGTCTTACCTATAGTTATTCCATACATATTTCATTTGGTATTATAAACTTTATTCTTCCCTATTTTCACCTAGCCATTTCTTGAGAATTACAACTACACAGCAGCTCTCATTGTAGTCCTTAGTTTATTTATATCTTGGAGATGAAACTGTGAAGTAATGTATTTGTATCATATTTCATTTTACATCTTTTAACTGTTATCTTCTCCTTGCACATGAAAATATCAACTAAATTTATCCATACAGTTTTATTTCATTATGTAATCTTATACAATGTGGATGTTGCAGGTCGCAAGTGCCGTGATTGTATGACCCGGGTGCCGTATGCCACACTTATCGCTACAGTCATGTGCTGTGTGGGTGTGGGTGTGTTCTGCGGCACCATGTACAGAGGTACCACGCTCACTCTACGGCTTTTCGAAGATGTCTTCAAGCTCCACATAAAGTGGTAAGTGCTACTATGACAGTCAAGTGGCAGGGAAAAGGGGGTTTAGGTAGTGATTAATGACTAAACACTAAGTCCATAGTGGTTATACAGTGCCTGGGGAACTGGAAGTACACTAATTAGGTTTTATCCAAGGGAGAAGATTATAGCTTCAGTTCCTTAAATCCAGAGGTTATCAGCATCAACTTGCCTCCTTTTTAAGGGTTGTATAGGTAGTGACTGAGTACTAAAGGGATTTCTACTACAAGTGGTGGGGGACTTTCAGTCCAGGTGGTGAGTGGTGAGGGACTCAGTATGGTGGTGTGAGCAGTGAAGGACTCTCATTACTGGCAGTGGTGTTGTGAGAAACTTTTTATACATGTTATGGTGGTGTGAGCAGTGAAGGACTCTCATTACTGGCGGTGGTGTTGTGAGAAACTTTTTATACATGTTCTTACACTTATTGATTGATTATAAAACTGTAATGAACTTGACGATCAGTTTGTAATGAGTTATTGTCACATATGCTATTGTTGACTTTGTTTGTATACATGTTACGATTTGTCAGTAAAGTCCCCCCTTGCCTTTTATTGAGAATCCATATACACACCTATAGTACAATATTTAATGAAACCTAGTCAGATAGAGAAAAGAATTGGATTTACTGTTTGTAGCACTACCTTAAGCCAGTTTATGGTTTTGATTCTTATTCTTACCTGTTGTATCTGGCGGGCGTGACGTGATGCAGGGACCGAGAATACAGGTAAACTGACATTTACAGTAACCCTGCTTGCCCTCGCATCGACCCCATTACCTTACCTTGCCCCTCTGCCAACAGGCCAGAAGGAGGGGAAGGGCTACTTTTGTTTGTATGAGGACCAAAAAAAATAATTTTTCTTTTAACCTCTCTGAGAATTGCTAGTATATATTCAGCATGACTCCTTATATGACAGTGTCACAACTTCCTGCTGATGTGTGATTCAATATACTTCAGTTACTAGATTTAAATGAACCTGTAAAATGTCAGCTTTCTTGAGTAAAAACATGCAGTGACATCTCCATCACTAAATACCATCCAGTGCTGCACATCTTTGCTAGTGGTTATCAACTGCTAAATTTCATATTACTTAGAGGATGACCTTGCCACTTGACAGACATCTTCACACAAAAATAAGAACTACATTATATAATTACATTTGTGGAAAAGCAATAAACCCATAGCATTAATGAAGTGCCTGAGGAAAGGAATCAGGTTGGATCCAAGAAAGATGAGGGTAGCTCAGATTTCTTGGGTCAAGAGCACTTCAGCATCAGTGCACTCACCCCCTTGAAGGGATAGCTGCATTATAAAAGGTGCTAGCATGGTTTGTTGAAAGTCGATGGTTATGGACATCTGGTGTTTTTGACTCTAGTGGTTATGGTCATCCAGGCTCTTACACTGAGCATGAGTCTGCCAAAAGTCCTGCAGTAAAACATTTGAGCTTTTAAGATGACCTATAGTGTTCCTCCTCCTAGGGACTGCATCCACACCTGTGGCTCTCATTAGCTGCAGGTGTTGAGTATTTGAAAAGTTCTCTTCTCCTCCTGTGTTTTTGCTGATAGAAGGAACTGAATGCCTGTATATGTCCTCCTTAGACTATTTTATTGCCTGATGCTGCTGCCTGGATCAGTAGGCATGAAATATACAGAAGTCAGACATTTCTTGTTTGTACCTGCAGACCTGGATGTCTCTAAAAAGTTGCATGAAACATCAGCACTGTACCATATATGGTACTACAGTATTTTAAACTAACAGCTATTATATTAGTGCCCTAGCACTGTTATAGGAGACAAAGTCCAGGTAATATTGTAATAAGGTTCTACAGTACCAACCATCAGTGGCAATGCATCTGTATTAACATACTTTCTCCTTGTTTTATTTTTCTGTTTCTCATTTTCAACCAGCCTTACCTTGCTCTCTCCTTAACCCCCCCATTAACACCAGTGACTGTAATGTCATGATTCACAAAAAAATAATTTTCAGTTTATCTTCTGTTATTCATTCTTCATGTACTTCCTCTCCTCTCCCTATTCATTTCATTTTCCTCATCTCTTTATCTACTTTTCTTTGTTTTGTGTAATTTTTTCATGTTTTTTCTGTTCTCTGCTTATTTTTTAGTTTTTCATCCATGAGCTTATTTTACTCTTCTATATTCCAACACCCCAGAATATTCAGTCTTGCAAAGGATCTATCAATCCCAGATTATTTGTTTGAAACTAAAAGCTCGAGGTGTATTGCAAACCTAACCCTGCATGGTGGACTTGTCATAGAATGTGTTTTCAAGATTGAATTTTATTACTAATACTACAGATATAATCCATGCAATTTTTTTTTATAATGTGCAGTGCACACTTTTAAAAACAGTAGCTGTTACTTAATTCATTTGTGCTTTACATCAGGTATAATGTTTATGGTCAAGATGGGATTTTTACATTTGTCTCTCTGAATGTGATTAAAGTTAAGTATATTATTGTTGTCCTCCTCACTTGAACATGTATGGCATTACACTATTTTGTGCCTCCTCTTTTAAATTTGACAAGTTTGTATTACCTTGTGAAGGTACACAGTGTAGTGTTTATTTCATTATAAGTTGTTGGTAACTATTTTTGTCAAATATTCTTTAAAGATTCTCACTGTCTGCATATATAGAAAATTTGTGTATAATGTATGCTAACTTTTTATATATGTTATTGCAAAAAGACCAGTCTGTAGCTACACTCTTTGTGTAGCATGTGAAGAGAGGCAATATGTAGGTTTAATTTTTTCCCTTGGATTTAATGACAGTAGCTAATAGGTAAATATTTTCTTAACTGCTAATACAGGATGTACAATAATAACTTCCATTCCTTGTTAAAGGCTCATTTTGATGTACTATTAGAAAACACCAATGTCATTTAAAGATCTGTATCTGTATGATGAGATATTTGAGAGAGGAGGGGAGGGGTGAAGTGAGCAGGCAGACACCGGTGTTCCCACGGGGTATCAAATGAACCGCACCAATTATGTCATCATAGCCACTTACTGCCCAGTGGCGCCACTATAACCCTACCCCAAAAAAGAAATTTGTTTCAGTTATCATTGAGAATAGCTATTCTCACCCTATTTGGCCAATTGTGTTAATACATTATAATACATTTGGGTAGTAATCTATTGTATATGGAAAATCCTAGAGGGACTGATCCTAAATCTACACACACAAATCGCTCCCTATGAAAGCAACCCCAATGAAAAGCAGGGGTACCATCAGTATATTAAAAGAAAAGCACAATAAGTGTCTGGGGGCCCAAGACTATTCAACAACCTCCCATCATACATAAGGGAGATTACCAATAGATCCCTGGCTGTCTTCAATAGGGAACTGGATAGATACCTAAAGTAAGCACCTGATCAGCTGGGTTGTAGCTTGTATGTTAGATTGTGTGCAGCCAGCAGTAACAGCCTGGTTGATTAGGCCCTGATCCACTGGAAAGGCCTGGTTGAGGACTGGGCTGTGGGGACATTGAGCCGGAATAACCTCCAGGTAGATACATATAGAATTTGATATTCCCAAGGCTTTTTCTGGACTACACATACAATGTTTTTACTATGGTTGATATGCGCTAGTGTGCTGAGTTTACAGTAAATCTTAGATTATATTCCTGGGCAGGGTAGATGTATAAGCAGATTTCCATATGCCTGCTATTCCTGCTCACCTAGCAGTAAATAGGTACTGAAACTTTGTTAGTTGACTGTTCTTTGTTTCATCCTGGGAAAGGTTGGTACTGTACAGTTTCAGAGCCAAACTTGAAATGAGCTGAGGTAGGTTAGCAACTCAGCTTTTAAAAGTATGTGTAGTATAAATAATACAGATATAACATATAAATATACACACATAATGTAAATAAATAAATATACTGTAATAGGTAGTACAGTGGAACGACCATAATTTGTTCCAAAATTCTGGTCGTGACCCGAACCTAATTTTCCCATTGGAATATATGTAAATGTGATTAATCCATTCCAGATCCCTACGAACTGTGTGTAAATATTGTTTTTTTAAGATTTTTAAGCACAGACCGGGCCTCGGGGGCGTTGACCCCTGGAACTCTCTCCCGGTAATTATACCATAGAATGCACAACATAATATTAAATTAAATGTAAAATTCCTGAATAACACTGAGAAAACCTTGAACAACAGAGAAAACTAACATTGTACGAGTCCGTTCTAGACCCCTACAAACTGTTCGCTGTAAGTTTTACAGAGACTTCTAATGGCTGAGAAGTGAACTCTATCTGATTTATTTCATTTTTGGTGTAACTTAAGAAGCATCTTTCCATCATACATTGCCCAAGTTTCAATAAGATAGCCCAACAACAACTGAGAAAAAAATAGTATTTACCAAAAATCATGTATGGCAAGCCCTAGCGGGTACTGGCACTGTGAGAAGCCGTTTGTGCACTACCTGCTGATAGAACATTGCTAATCTGAATTTATCGTGGTCATAATTACTGTAATTTATGAATAACTTGCTTCCAAGATAACCAACGAAAATGAGTGCACACCGAAAAAAAAGAGAAACTAAGTCACTATCTGACTTTTTTGGGCTATCCTAGGTTCTCTATGCATATGCTGCTATGTAACTGTATTTGTGTATACCTGAATAAACTTACTTAGTGTTATGGTGCATTACGAGTGTATATCACAGTTAACACTGTACTACACTTATGTTTTCTCAAATATAAGTACCCAGGAGGGGATAAGATGATGGTACTTTATCCCTTAACCTTGAGTTCACAACGAATGAATGCACGTCTGACTGAGACTAACTACAAGGTGAGGGTCTTTGTTAGGTGTACACAAAAAGCAGAAAGTGGGGAAAATTGGTGCATGAAAAAAAATGGCGTGGAATGTGAAAACTGGCACGGCTGTGTTGGTTCAGCACCCAGTTATGTGTACATGACCAGATGCAAAAATTTGGCAAATTTTTTGGTCATGGACCAATTTGTCCATGGTCAGACGCATTCGTGACCAGAGGGTTCACTGTATATTGAAAATGGGAGTACTGTATAAATACAGTGGACCCCGTTAAAAAACCCTT